AAATGGAACACCAACATGTAATGGAGCTCCTTTTAGTCTAGTAACCTGAACTGCGAATAGTAGAGGGGAACTACTTAATGGGAAATGGGAAGGTAGATAACGAGTTTCAGAGCATGGAATGAATGTATTGTTATTTTAACATAACTTAATCAACTCTGGAAGACATAGCCTGATCAATGTAATTAACTATATGTAGTCTAGCTTCTCACCTTACCAATCAACATAAGATATAACTAATTATGGTTAGAGAGGCCAAACAAAGGACACAATGAAGACACCAAAAATTAAAGGCAAAAACCAAAAAAATGCTCACTAGAGGGCTCGAACCTCTGACGTCCGCATATACTTAATCTCAATGTGATTATTAGTACGGCACTCTAACCAACTGAGTTAAGCGAGCACGATGACGAATTAAAAGCTGTTATTTGCTATATCACTCTAAATCGACACAACTCCTGGTGACATAATGACTTGCCCAAGATTTGTAACTGTAACTTACCTTATAAAAATATAGCTACCATCTTGTTCCTTGCCAATGTTACGGGTCCAGTATGGGTGTCCCCAATCTAGGCCAAAAAGAGCAAGACGTCAAACCCAACGCCATCTGCCCCTGCACCGCAGCTTGCCAACACTAGCCACTGGAAGAATGATCCGACAAAGGGCCACCAGACGAGGAAGTAATTACCAAAGATACAAAGTGGGAACTGCGAGTGCAAAACAAAGCCAAGAAAAAAAAAGAAACTGCTCACTAGAGGGCTCGAACCTCTGACGTCCGCATGTACTTAACCATTGGATTATTAGTACGGCACTCTAACCAACTGAGTTAAGCGAGCTGGTTTACATTACTTGTGCGGAAAATTTAGAATGATAATAAGCTCCGAGTCCGTGCTCGGCGGAACTAAGATACGGAGAGCATCGGTCAAGACTCACTCGCAAGGTTCATTGTTAGGTTTATCTCATACGCACCTGGCCGGCTGTAATCCGTTATATTGCTTTATCGGTATATTTAAGCTGGTAATGACTGGAGTTTTTTTGCCACACAGTCTGCACAATTTCCAGGTCCGAGTTAGAGCTACCGCCGTAAATTGATCCATGAAATATATATTTCAGACCAGTCCGGTTGGATAGTCTTGTTGAGGTCAGGTCAACATTTGAAGCCAGGTACATACAGCTGTACACAAAATAATTTTGCCCTCACTTTTGATTCAAAGACTGATGCAGAGTCATTAGATCGAGGCTACCCTCTTGGCTTTCCTTTGCACTTTATCCCGAGGATGGCCACATAGACGTCTCCCTAGACCTCGTTTTCTGAACTTTAAACCGTAGGTAGTTTCCGCAGCACCCTCATTGTTTGATGGAACGCCCACGCACGCGACCGCTGTGTAGTCTACTATCCTGGTGGTATAACAACAAATATCTTTAGCTCGCTATCTCCCTGCTATTTTACTGTCATATCGATCGAAGCTGCGACACTGTCATATTTTTGTCCCGGAGAATAGAAATGAATGTTGGAAGAGGAAGTATCCTTGGTGCCCGAGCCGGGTTTCGTGATGCTCTAGTGTGGGCATCGATGATGACTAGAAGGATTTTGGAGGGCTGTTAAGGAAGTGGCAAGACCACCTAGATCTAGATTATGGTAACTAGTTTAGTCTGCGACTAGTTCTTTTATGAGACATGATTTCTAAGTGAGGGGCCTTTTCATATCGTGGGCTCGAACTGCGAGTTGACTCCTAATGTTTCTTGGGAGGGTGTGATAATGTCGACAATCAAACCCGCGTCATACAAACGAAGAAAAACGCCGTCAGTGCGGAGATAAGACTGTCCCTTGACTGCGCGTTAATGGTAAACCTTTATGGGTCGTTGGGCTAGCCAGCACCGGTTCTAAAACTCACCGCACGGAAACGCAAAGGCACAGAAAAAAGCTTTATGGGATGCACTTAAAAAGCCCTCTACGCTGCTTACGGTGACTCGCAAACTATCAGTCTCGGTGGAGCTCTCTTGGTCACGTCGGGCAAGGCACGGTATCACGTTATGCCAGATTCCCCATCAAAAGATGAATTGCCCTTTAAAGACCGGGAGCAGCTCAGTGGCTGGCTTACATACCATGATTTTGAAGGGCTGATTGTGTGCTTGTCGGTGCTGCATTCTGCGGATCCGGGAAAGGAGACGGGGTTGCGGATGGAACATACTCGTGGGTTTTCTCCGGTAGAAAACAATGCCGGGGGCCATTATCATTACAAAGTCGATAGCGGTGAGGATGTTGAGTATGCGGCGTATTTCCACACGGTCAAGGCGATATATATCGGGTGGATATGCCGCAAATAGACTTCCCACGCGATTTGTGTGGCTGATTTAGTTGGTAGGATAGTTATTTGAAAATGAAGTTATTCGATTTCTTCTCCAGATTCTTCTTTATTGAAGAAACTTAATACACAACTAATTACGTCCGTAGGTGCATGAGAATGCATCACACTTTGAACAACGCTCAGCCGCAACTCCAAGGTAACACTAACTGTGGGTCATCAACACAGATTAGGTCTGGCTTCGAGGTAGCTGTAAGATACTAAGATTAAACCAACACTAGTTCCTCGCTGTGGTTGGTGCAAATCCCGACACGAGGCTGTTTATCATGGGGATCATCATGCAGCTATATCCTCCAACAATTGATTGGTTGCTCGTGTCCTGTCCTGCAGGAGGACTGTTCAGGGCTTAGGTAGTACTCCTGAAGCCTTACCAACGCAATTCTGCAAATCGCTGCGCTTTAGCGCCTTGTGTTATTATTATTATGACTAGCTGAGGGTTTCTTTCTAGTCTTCCCGTCATGTCTTGGCCCCCCTCCTCAAACTTCTTCGTGCTTCTAATCGTAATATTAATAATGAAGCCATTTGGCGCATAAGGGGGAAGTTTGACTGTCTTTTTTCGTCGCGCTGCGTCCCGACGTGCTAGTGCCGAAAGGTATCGCGCATCGATCGGATCGATAATATAGAGGGCAAAAGAAAATCGAAGGAAAATGAAGGGCGAAATTTTCAGCAGAATGGTCGGCTTTATGGCCTCCATCGCCGAGCAACGTGAGTGAAAATTGTCGAGTTTGAATTACCGAGATGGAAAGACATGCTGACTTCATTTCGAATAGCATCATCATCTTCACCACAGTCACATACATCATTGAATATACGAGACGATTCCACCGACTGCCCGCAGCCTTCGTACGTGACAGTAAATGGCCTCGAGTTCGACACATCCTGCGGCGTTGATATCCTCTACCCCGAGGTCGGGAACCAGGTTCAACCAAGCATGCCTTGGTGCATGGATTTGTGTTCTTGGTATCAGCCAGTTTGCTACGGAGTAACATACTACACGCAAAATCAGACATGCTCATTGAAGGGCCTCGGCGTAAACTCGACATTTTTTAGCACTACGGACAGCGACAATGTCAATGTCAACAGCGCGCTCGCAAACGTGACGCAAATGGCACCCCTGGACACAAGCTGCCCATACCAAAACAATTCGATCATCGAATCAAGCAGAGGCATGCCGTTTCATATTCTTTGTGACCAGGATATGGGCGGTTACGGCGATTATTTTCCTTGGGGAGTGACGAATCGACCACACACAGATACGATGATGGAGTGCATGGAACTGTGTGCGCAAGCGCACCCGTTGTGCGTGGGAGTATCGTGGAATGCAGATCTAACGGCTGGTTACGGAAACTGCTATTTGAAAAACTCACAAAACGGAGTTCCTTTCACTCCGAGTAGCTATGTAACTCATTCGGGTCTGGTTCAGATGCCCGTAACCAACTCGTGCTCGACCTCTGATCCAAAACAACTCACAAGCAACGGCAAAACATTCAACGTGACGTGCTTCGAAGCCCGTGCCGGCAGCAACAACTTCACATCCGTGTATAGCGCGAATATTACCGGTTGTGTCGACGAATGCGCAGCCTACGATGGACCAGAGTCGTGCCTTGCGGTCTTTTACGACAATACCTGTGCCGATGGGTTTGATAATTGCTATTTGTTGAATGCAACGGGCACCCAGACTGTCCCCCGGAATTGTACCTATGCTGAGCTTGCTTCTGGAAATCCTTCGGGCTCGTCCCCGTCCCCGTCGCCCTCCACGTCTGCAGTGCCCTCAACATCTACAGAGCCATCGCCAGGTGCAAGCAGCAGCGACAGCAGCTCTGGAGGTTCATCCAGCAAAGCGTGGATTGCGGGGCCTGTTGTAGGCGTTGTCGCGGCCGTGGCAATTGCTTTTGCAGGGTTCTTATGGTGGAGAAGACGACAGCAGCCTTATGAAGAGGAAAATAAATTCGTGCCGGTTAATCAGGGCAAGCAGATGGGCTCTCCAGACCTGCACGAGCTGCCTCGTTATCCGGTATCCGAGATGGCAGCGTCGGAGCCGAGGCATGAATTACCAACAGACTGAGGATCAATTGGTGTAGGGACCTTTTAATGTTTAGGTTTTAATGTGATAGACTTAATACATCTACACAATAGATATAAAGCAATTCATCTTAAGCATAATATTAATTCTATAATATTAATATAATGTAATGTAATGATATATAGTTCAATAACGTCGGCCTTGGCACAGAACGAACTAGCCCGTTTGCGGCTAGCGCAAATGAGATCGCATTTTCTCCCAATAAAACGTTGCGCGCGTGCCTCTCGTTTTTTCTTCGCGTTTTGTCTCGTGGGAAGATAACTGTTTGCTTTTAGCATTTGCTGCTCTCTGGAGTAACCACTTGCAAGGCATTGGCCAATTGAGGATTTCCACTTCCTGAATAATACTATACTGACCGTTAAGGCGCCCACGCGGGGCCCATTTTTAGATCTGCCCATTGCGACTGCGATCAGCCTTTCAGGACAGGGATCTCCTGCGCTCTCTGCCATTCGCTGTCTATTATTGTCGATATGCAACACATTTGTGACTTGGCTTAGACTATCTTCTCCCATACGCGGCATCCAATCTATAGAACACCCGGTCGTATAGTTTCGTGCTTGCTCCTGTCGCGCCAGCGCAGTTAGCAGGTTTAAAACAAAAAAAAAAAAAAAAAGAAAAAAGAAAAAAGGAAGAAGAAGAAGAAGAAGAGCAAGAAACTGAACTAAATGACAGGCCCCGTGCAAAAATCCGCCGATGATGCGGTGCTCGCGCGGCTGGGCAAGAAGCAAGTTCTCCGGCGCCGTTTTGGCTTCTGGTCGCTGTTCGGTTTTGCCGTATGCGAGCTGATTACCTGGGAGACGGTCCTGGCGCTGTTCAGCCAGGGCTTAGAAAATGGAGGGCCCAGTGGGCTGTTGTATGGTTTTATTATCGCATGGAGCTCGACCTTGTCAGTGTACTCGGTCATCTCGGAGCTGGCCTCAATGGCGCCCATTGCCGCGGGCCAGTATTACTGGGTGTACATGCTCTCGTCTGAGCGGTACCGCGTGTTTGCCAGCTATATCATCGGCTGGCTGACTTCGCTCGCGTGGATTGCCACAGTGGCCACGGAGACGCTGTTCGCCGGGACAATGCTGCAGGGGCTCGTCGTACTGGACTATCCATCAAGCTACGTGGCCACGGACTGGCAAGCCACGCTGCTTACTTGGGGCGTAGCCCTGATATCGACTTTTATAAACGCTGTGATTCCGGGCATGCTGCCGCGCATCGAGCTCGGCACAGTGGTGTTTCACGTTGCCGGTTTTGTGGCTATCATTGCGGTGCTCTGGCACTTTACCGACCCTTTGCATTCCACTGATTTTGTGTTTCGGTCGAGTCTAAACGAGGGCAACTGGCCGAGCCAGGGTCTTTCATACTGCGTCGGGTTTTTGGGCAATGTAGCCACGTTTGT